TCATTGTTGTTTGGCGGGCCCGGGCTGGGGATTCGAACCCACCTTAGGTGTATGTGGCTGGCACCTTAGCCGCTTGAGCCACAGATGCCGAGCCTGGAGAATAACTCATAAATTGCATGGGCACACCCATGAACATGAACCAACTAACATGAACAAATCTTGCCATCCTGGGTGATTCTTATAAGATCACCTCATCTATGTTGTGATCATTAACTCTATCATGACTTAAGTTACATACAAGTCTACAATAGACCTCAAAAGACCAATATTATGACTGAATGCATTTAAGAAGTGGGTATTATTTCCCTTATTCTGCCTAACAAATGGAATCTTTAATTATTGCTAAACTAAACTGAAAAAAAAGACCAATATTATATACCAATATGGGTCACACAATAACCAAAACATATGATTTTTAATGGAAGCTTAAAACTGAGAGGAGTCTGTCCTTTAAGTGCAAAATCCAATACTCCCTTGATTGCCAGAAAAGAAAAACATAAACACCATACAAAAATTCCAGTGCGGTGGCAATATGGCACTGGACTCCAGACTTGGCTGAGTGAAGGGAACGATACTATCAAACAAACACTGGAAAGATTGCAAGAAGCCTGCAGACCTGGTCTCTTCTGTGATTTCATTAGTGCAACTTTGGAACATCCCTGGGAAGAAAAACCCCAGTTATGGCAGAAGGCTAGTCACCCTTATCCGGAGTTGATACAGAATGAGTGACAGCAGAACGCCCTAGCAGCATCTGGGCAGTAAGTGCAAATGGGAGACCTCAATCAGAGAAGAGGAAATAAAGAGTTTAAGGGAGCCCCAGGCTCAATTTTAAACAAGAGACACAGCTGTGTATCACTGAGAACCAGCTGCGATGAACAGATAAGGCATCTGTGAAGATGAAGGCTTTCCCTTTGAACAAAAGTTTCAAGCCCAGTTGAGTCTAAGTGGTCAACAGACAGACACCTGTGGGCTCCACACACAGTGTTTGCAGTTATAAATCAAAACTCTGCTTTTCTGTGTGCAAAGTGTGGGAACAGTCTCTTTTCTATGTATTGGCCTTTTAATCTGTACATACACACGTCACTAGTACCACCTTTGAATCTGAGAGACAGCAGTACATTTTGGGAGTCTTTTAACATTGTTTTGATGCCTTCAGTGTTAGATTGAGCTCTTCAGGTGTATGAATATGTATTTTAAAAACTAAGAAAATTTGGAAGAGGTCCAACATGATGTTTCTCTACTAGAAATTTGTACAAAGTATTTTATAAATACATTTTCCAATAATAAAAAAAATGGAGAAATTGGATGCTTCTCTTTGAAATAAAACCTGTTTGAAAGCTGCTGTAAAAATGATGACAACAATTATTTGACAACTATAAATAAGAAAGAAATAATAGATTTTTAGGGCTCAGGTGAGCATTTTGAAAACAGAGTAAAATACATTTATATTCAAATTAGGTTCAAACATTTATTTTCATTTCTGCAAAGATTTCACTTATATGGAGTCTTTTATTGAAAAATAATTTGGGCTAACCAGAAAGTCAAGATCACTGAGAAGATTAAGACAGATTATCTGTGTAGGTTAATATGTCCCATACAAAAATAATCATGCAATCATTATTCAGCCTTACTTTCCCACTTAGTAGTTGGCTTCTTTTTGAGGTAAGCACTTATCTTAGAATGAATGAATAAGTTAGAGGGCAAATCCTTTAAAAAATCCAATTTGCCTGATAATTTTAGAGGAATGGATCCTCTTTTCCATGCCATGCTGTTTTGTTTGCTTGACTTTCTCCATCACTAAATAAGAGTGGATATAATGAAGAGATGGCTTTTATTCATCATTCCAGTGCCAAATTCTTTACCAAGAAAAATGTCTTTCTCTTGGGGAAAAGTACTGAGTCAACTATCCTGAGAATTTCAAACTCACTTCTCCATTTGTCAACATTTCCCAAGAGAAATTCTCTTTCCATATTCCGGTGTTACTTTTTCTATGATGAATTTTGCAAAGGCAAAATGGATAAAGGAATCAGAGCACTTAATTATCCTTCAGGGAAAAAAAAAAGCAGTCTTTTTCTTTTGATAATCATCTTAGTTTTTCAAATTAATTTTGACAGTGGGCACTTGGTCTCAAGCAAAAATTTTAAAATTAAACTGGATAAATTTTTTTTACTAGAAATATAAAAATGCTCCCTGCTAGATTTAGTTATTGGAAAACATATTTGGCCGATAGCCTGTATACTAATTTGAAAGATATGTTTTATTTCTAACCAATGTACATAATTTTAAAAGCAAATACTACTAGAGGATTTAATGTAAAAAGCATCAGTCCTGGCCTTTTACCTCCTTGTGACAATTTCCCATTCTCCAGAGACAGCCACTTTAAACTTTTTAGTTCCTTCTAATACTTTGCTGCATATATCAAAAAACTTGACTTCTTGATTTTTAGTAGTTTTTTTGTAGTTGTCCATTAATTATGGTTAGAAAGGAGTCAGTGGCTAGGTGTGGTCGCTGACGCCTGTAATCCTAGAACTCTGGGAGGCTGAAGAGGGAGGATTGTTTGAACTCAGGAGTTTAAGACCAGCCTGAGCAGGAGCAAGACCCTGCCTCTACTAAAAATAGAAGAATTAGCCAGGTGTTGTGGTGGCACCTATAGCTCCAGCTGTGTGGAAGGCTGAACCAGGAGGATCACTTGAAACCAGAAATCTGAGGTTGCTGAGAGCCAGGCTGACACCATGGTACTCTAGCTTGGGGCAACAGAGTGAGATTCAGTCTCTAAATTAATTAATTAATTAATTAATTAAAATTTCTTTTTTTAATACTTCCTTTCCATTCCTCAAGTACTCAAAGTCTCTTTTATTTATGAGACAGCCATATCACAAGTTACATTACATTATTTTACTGTTTACCCTTCAAGCACATGGTGTCCATGAGTATATTGCCTTTCTTTGAAAACTTTTTGATTTCCCTACAGTTGATGATTGCTTCCTTTTTATTTTTGCTTTGTTAAAAATGCCCTAGAAATAATGTACCTTTGCCAGAAATGTAACTCTCCCTGCAGTAGGTTCAAAGCCGCCGGCAACATAGCCTCGTGTGTATGTGGATATTTGTTTTGTTATTCTTTTTTCATAAAGACATAACTCCTGGGGCCCCCTGTTCTTCTGATCCAATTTGTGATGGATGTTCCTTAGGCTTACTGCAGGCCATCATTATTGGAACATCCTTCTGTCTTCTGTGTTAGATTTCTTGTATCCTGGCACTCCACTTTCTGCTTCCTTGGAGCCCCTTATTTTCATTAAGTACATCCTCCCTAACTGCATAAGGCTGGGTTCCTGGAAGGTATTTTTTTTAATATTGTCTGAAAATATTCTAACTTTACCTAAATACCCTCTTAATTGATAGTTTGCCCACATAAACCATTCTATATTAAAACTAATGTTTTGTATCTTTGAGACATTTATTTTTCACATCACTGATTATTATATCATGAGTATGTGTGACTATGTATCATATCTCCTTCTGGATAACATGGGACTATTGTATGTCTATGGCATCATATGGAAACTTCAGTCTTTAGTCGCAGCTTTAAGAGCTCTTGGTTTCATAGCCCCACAAGCTCTCTATGAAATGACTTATACGTTGGAAATAATTTTTTTCCCCAGAATTTTGAAGGCCTTGGCACACTATCTTTTAATTTCTATCATTGTTTTAGGGATACTTTGTAATGTCATTTTTTATTTATGACTCTTTATATGTGACACTTTATTTTCTCTCTGAGAGATTTTTGAATTTTCTTTTTGTCTTTAGTATTACAAAATTTCATGAAAACACGCCTTTTTGGAATTTTTATTTTATTATTTAGAGAACTTTCAATTCAGAAATGTGTGTTATTCAGTTCTGTGGGGTTTTCTTAAAATATTTATTTCATCATTCCCTCTTTTCTGTTTTCATGCTTTTTTCTGGCATTCCTAGTTAAAATAATACTGGAAGTCCTGATACACTAACATTCCCTTTTTACCTATATTTTATATCTATTTGTATTTTCTTCTCTCTAAGATACTTATTAAATTGTAGACTTAAACTCTTCTGTTGAATTTTTGTTTAAATTTTGGACTACATTTTTATTTTCCAAGAACTCTTTGTTAATAATTCTTTCTTAAAAAAATATCACTTTCTGAGGTGGTGCCTGTAGCTCAAAGGAGTAGGGCGCCACCCCCATATGCCAGAGATGGCAGGTTCAAACCCAGCCCTGGCCAAAAACAGCAAAAAAAAAAATTTTCTGAATGCATTTTTCCTCTTAAATCTGTGAAGACAATATAGTTTTTAAAAGATTTGTTTTCTGCTCTATTTGTTGTCTATGAGTTCTTTTTCTTTGTTTTTAGTCAGTTTTGTTCTTCTATGTTAGACTTTTCCAATGATCGTGTTTGAAACAGTCAGACCATGGGCTTCCAAGGCAACCACTATTGTACTCGAAGGTGACTGACAGACTCCAAAGTCTTTCATGAAAACAATTCCTTGGGCTTCTCTTGCTAAGTTTTTCCTGTCTACAAATATGTAATCAGGCGGGAAAAAATTTATTTTTCCTGCCTCAGTCAAAAATTAATGCTATTATGAAAACAGACATCTAGCTCATAAGATCAGAGAACAGTGAGACCCTGAAATTTCACTTTGGACCCATATGGGATGTTTTTACTTTCATAAGTGAGCACACTCTCTGCATGTGTGCCTTCCACGCAGTGGAAGGAATGGCAAACCCATGCTGAGAACTGGAACATTTATATGCCATAGGATGGGTGAAATTACAATCAAAAGGGGAATTAACTATAAGGAGCTAAAATATAAATAATCCTTTAATAGATTTTTGATGAGCATTTGGTCAATTTTGAAGCAGTTTTGTGAAAGTTGGGCATAAATTCAGTGGACATTTTAAAAGGTGGAATACCTACCTCTATAAGGAAATTATTCCTTCACTTGTATGTTTTTTCAGGTGTTTCTACAGTGAGTTTTTATAACATGATTATATATATATATATATATAATGCCAATATATAGATATGCATACATATATACATACATGTATACATGTACTCTCATACATATATATATACATGTAAATATACATATACATATCATCATGATATAGCCCTTACAGTGATAATGCTGGACCTGCCTACATTAGGCCCAGCAAGACCCTGCTGTGCTAGAACAGTGTCATTGCAATTCTCTTCCTACAGCAGATACTAGTGACTAAGAACAGGCTGAAATCTGCTCTTGTCCGAGGTCACCTTGGTTGTAAAACCATTTTGCCAACAAATTTTAGCCAAACAAATAGGCTTCAACTGAGTCTAGGGGTGGGAAGGGATGGGGAAGGCAGGGAGGGGAGTTGTTAAAAAGTAGCCACTGAAAACTTTAAAACAAGAGCAAATAACAAGAGCCAAGATATTAAGGAGAAGGATGTGTGGAAATTATAAATATTTGTATGAGAACATCCAAGTGAGAGGAAATTGTTGCAACTGAGCGCAAAATGTGGTTGTCCAGTAAAGAAATGAGACAAAAAGACTCCATAATGACTTTAATAGTTTTTATTACTTTATAAAAGAAAAAGTATCAATTCATCAGGAAAGAGCTAATGTTTCTTGCTACATGATTTTAAGTAGTTTTAAGCACATAGTTTCTTATTATGATGATATTTTATTTCATTTCTTTTTATACTAGCTTTGATTATTAAATCTAGGAGATTAAAGGCTATGATTTTTTTTCTTCTTTGTCTTTACACTCCCAGTAATAAATATCGCACCTAGAAGAGATACTGTTAGCGGAATGAATCAGCAATATAATCATCAGGCATAAAGGGCTTTTGTAACATTTAAAAACTTAATAGTCGATTGTACATCTGGGAAAGTATTTCTATGAAGCACAAAGTGATATAATTCAGGATAAAAATTTTAGGTACTCTGACTTCTTATAGAGGTGGAACTTAGAAACAGGGAAAATTATTAGTTAAGTCATCAAAAAATCTCGACTTTCTTCAGAAGAATCTTTTGTCAAGATTAGGATGGTAAGTAACTGAAAATTGAAAATATAAATGAGTGCTTAAGGTATAGATAGTTCTTTGGTTTTGACTAGAAAAAGGGTCCTTACAACTTAGTTTCTAAGTACAAAGAAAACAAGGGTGGCATTTTATTTTTAAAAATAACATTTTAAAGTGAAGAGATCTTTAAATTCATATTTTTGCCCATATAGAAAACCATACCAACTTGGTTATACTACCAGAGGATATTTAGATGTAGGGTCAAAACCAAACTTTGTAAAATAACAGTTTTAGTTCTGCTTTAAGCCCAATAAAAATCTTGGAGTTCTGCAACACAAATAAATCACCAGAGTTGCTAGATTCAAAGAAGGGATCAAGATTATAGACTTTGAAATCAGGTGACATGGGATTAAAGCTCTGGTTCACACACTTCCTACCTGCTCTGTGACCTTGTATTAGATATAATACTAGACATTATTCTTTCACAGGCTTAAGTGAGGATAAATAGAATGACAAGCTCTTAGCATGGAGTGTGGCCTATGTAGTTTAGTGAGTAGTCATTATATATAGGTAGTCATTATAATTTCTTTGGGAAAAAATAATAAAATGGTTAGAGAAAAATTTTGAGCCTCTCTAGACCCACAGGGAGAACTTATACTCACAGAATATAAAGAAATAATCTGTAGAATGTATTTTTTTTTCTTTCTTTTTTTAAGAGACAGAGTCTTTATTGCCCTTGGTAGAGTGCCATGGAGTCACAGCTCACAGCAACCTCCAACTCCTGGGTTTAGGCAATTCTCTTGCCTCAGCCTCCCAAGTAGCTGTGACTACAGGCACCCGCCACAACGCCCAGCTATTTTTTTGTTGCAGTTTGGCCGGGGCCAGGTTTAAACCTGCCACCCTTGGTATATGGGGCCGGCGCCCTACTCACTAAGCCAAAGGAGCCGCCCTGTAGAATGTATTTTTAAGTGAAATTCATATAGATAATGAAGAGTCATATAGGTAAATAGCTCAAATAATAATTTTAGATTTCAAACAAATAATTATTTTAGTTGAGCTCTTCTCACTTAGGCAGAACAAGTCATCTGCACAGTAGTATTTGTGTGTTACCTAGCTGCTTTTTTTCTGGAAAGCAGAGATCAAGTCCCTTAAACTCTGTACCATGTTACTCAGGTGTGAATTAGAAAGCTGGAGGAATAAGAAATATTCTGGATTGATGACATTTAAGATGTGCATTTGCCCTTTCAAAAGGCCATTAGTGTCCATTGTTTCTCAAAGTGGTTTGATTAAAGTTCCAAGGAGTGTTCAGAGCCTGCCCTGATTCACAGTTGTGGCTTATTTTTTATGTTAAGGGAAAAATGACTTTTATGGGACTCTACAACTCTGAAATGATAATGTAAGACTTCTGGACAGTGATTACACATATAGTAAACACTGCTCTTGTCATACCAGCACTTGTGTAGGTTTGTAAGACTTGGGGAAAAGGTAAATCCAGTACTCATAGCACTGGGCTGGGTTACAGATGGGCCAGAATGTAGAGGGAAGCTGCTCCCTAGCCACCAACTCTGTGCTTTGTTTTTGTTGAGATTTATTCATGCTTCCTACTTAGGGAAGAAGCTTTTCCAAAGCAGGATAACTCTGGCCCCTTACCTAGAAGAGAGTGGCATATGCAGCAAAGAAAGCAGGGCAGCAAGAGCTGGGAAAAGCAGGGACTAAGAGTCTGATCTTGACAAGATATTGATGGCTATTTAACAATGAATTTTCTTGATGAGGTAGCACTTAGTTGTGTTTCTAGACAAGAATCATTTGGTTGAAAATCTAGACAACCAAAGTGTTTGTATTTGCCTATTAGACAACACTATTTTAATACACGCTGAGCTGATGTATCAGTCGTTCAATCAGAAGGATAGAACTACCTTATTAAGGGCTGTGTTGCTAGGGTTTGATCTTAGGTATTGTGGAGCTGGTTAAGTATATCTATAAGGCTCTGTCCTTCACCCTGGATGCTGGAGCTTGCAGTCTACATGCAGGCCATCAAGAAGTATATAATGACTAAAATAGAACTGACCTGCTCACATTTACAAACTTCCACACTGGTGTCTCAAGATTATGTAAAATAATGGTCATCCAGATGGCTCAGAATATGCTTATATTTTCAGCTTATAAACACATTTATTTTAATTTTAAGAAAATTCTAAACCACTGTGAATTAGTCTAAAATCTTTAGGAATTTGTGAACCTCCAGTTTGATAAACATTGTTATATGTAATAATTGAGAAAGTAAAGAATCAGACAGACTCGATTCAAATTCTGCCTGTACTACTCACATATTAGCTGTGATATGACAAGTTCTTAAAGTGTTTATACCTCTGTTTCCTCACCACAAAATAGTTAGTAATGCATATATGTACACCATGGAATACTATGCAGCCATAAAGAAAGATGGAGACTTTACCTCCTTTATGTTTACATGGAAGGAGCTGGAAAATATTCTTCTTAGCAAAGCATCTCAAGAATGGAAGAAAAAGTATCCAATGTACTCAGCTCTACTATGAAACTAATTTATAGCTTTCATAGGAAAGCTATAACCCAATTTTAGCCCA